CCCCCCCCGCTTAGGCTGGATGTAGGCACCTAGTTGGGATTCAAATAAGAATTATGCTCAAAAGCAGTTTTAGGCATAACAGACTGAAAATTTTGCACGGACTCCTTGATGTTTTCTTAGGGGAAAAGATCAACTGTAAGTTAACCACGCTGAATGATCCCAGAGAGTAGAGAGTTACTCAGAACATTTACAGCACTCCAAAGTTCCCTCTCCTGGCTAAATTTCTCTGAGAAATGCACAGGGTGCAAGGAAAGGCAGAGGCCCATCTTTGTACATGCTTTGCCCAAAACAGAATCACATTTGGTACGTTTTCCTCCCACCCTTTCTCCAAGCAGTTCAGAGTGACAGACGTGGCTCTCCCTTCCTCGTTTCAGCTTCCAAACAATTCTGTGAAGCGGGTCAGGCTGAGAAGGGAGTCCTTGGCCCAAGGTCACTCAGGGAGCTTCCGTGGCCGTGTGAGGCAGGAGGGAATCCTGCTGCCTCCTGCAGAAGCCAGATGTGAAGGAGAGGAAGAGAAAGGGAATGTTGCTATTTTTTCTGGGAATGCTAGCTCTGGGTGAAAGGGGGCTGTACCACCACAGCTCTACTTCTCCCCCTCCAGGCTCACAGTCATGCCATCGCTGCTCCTTTAACTGTGAGCATAAAGGCTGTGCACGCTCCTGGCTTCATTCTAACCCCCCACAAGGCTTAGCCATCTTAAGGAGCACGGCCTCATTGCCCTGGAACAAAACTGCCGCACTCTGCCTCACCAGAAGCCAAACAGAAGTTGCATCTCCACTGCTTGGGCAACAGGGCAAGCGGCTCTCTTTGTGACTTGGCTACTTGTGCTGTTTTGGCTTCTGATATGGCCAGTCCTCTTGCCCCAGGAGGGCTGCAGTCAGCCTGAACCAGAGATGGCACTAGCCCCTCCCCATCTTGGATGGGACTTCTTCCTGTCCCCAAAGCCCAAGGCAAAACCCTGCCCTTCCAATGTTTGCCGCTCCTAGATGTCCAACAAGACCATCTGCTAGTGCCCAACAACACACTTGCCCATGCAGATAGGAAGGAAGTTTCCCCTCCGACTTCTGCATCTCTCGCTCTCCCCATCTGGATGACAAACCTGATTTTCAGCCGGTCATTCTCAGCGTAGAGGCGCAGCACATGTTCCCTTTCCTGGAAGAGGTAAACTTGCATGTCGCTCAAAGCCTTCTGCAGCTCGGCGATTTCTTCTTCCCGCTGACGCATTTCCCATTGCAATTTGTGCTAGATGGGGGAGAAATGGAAGCAACTCTATCAGAGGAAAGGCAGAGGCACTTGTCATGGGAGAGGACCTAGATCAGATCAAGAGCAACTTGCAAGAAGAGGGCTAGCCCTGAATGGCTTCTCTTAGGGCCAAGCGCTATCAGCCAGCACTGGCTTTGCCTTGATTGTAGGATTTGGTCAAACCTCTACAGCTAATCTCTAGAGAACATCATTCATTTGCCAGTGGATTCACTAGCTGGAATAATTTTGTAGGCCTCATACTGGTAAGACTGTGAATAAACTGCCTATACAAATGTAAGTAATTTTTTTGCTTCCACCCATACTCTTCAATCCACCAGTTAAGATCTGCCCACCAAGCCCTGCTCTCTGTACCTCCAGTTGTAGAGGTGAGGTGGGTGGCCTGAGAATATTTAAATAAGTATTTCTAAGATGCTCAATCTTTGTTTTATGCTTTGCTATGCTATGCTTTGTCATAGTACTAATTTATGTTGTTTTTATAATTTATCCGTAGGATGCATATAAATTCACAAAACATGTGAACAGATATACCTCTCTATACACCATCACCAATACCACCCCCTTTCAAACCTCCCCAGTATCTTTACAGCAGTTTTCCTTGTAGCATCCTGGATCAAAAGCTCTGGGCACTGCCAACGCCTTCCTGCTTCCCTCTTCATTCTCCATATCAGTGCACAGGAGAAGGGCCATAACGTAGCCACAGAAACTGCTTTGCCTGAAGAAGGTCCCAGGCTCGATCCCTGGTATCTCAAAGGGACCACAGACAGCAAGGCTAAGGAGGATCAAGACCCTGGGAAGCAACAGCCAACAAGGACGGAATTAGATGGACCAGTGGCTTGAGCAGATTCATATCTGTTTAAGTGCAAGCAAATGTTTTCCTAAGGTCATCGTCAGATCCCAGAAGCTGTCCTTTTTATCATTCAATTCAATACAGAAGTGATCAATGCTCCCTCTAAGCTGTGGAGTCTTGTGAGCAAAAATTCTACTTTGTGAGCTACTGGCATTAAAGTGGTGAGCAAGCAATTTAGCTACTGCATAAATTAGTTTCCTCTGGAGCCATCCTTCCTGCGCTAAGACAAAACTCTGTGAGCTGGAGGCTAAAAAACTGTGAGCTAGCTCACACTAACAGCTTAGAGGGAACTTTGGAGGTGATTTAGCTTTGGCAAGGACTAGAATTCAGTCTCTAAGAGTGCAACCCTAAGAACACTTTCCTGGAAGTTAACCCCACTGAAAGACCTTAATTCAGAATAGATCTGTTTAGGATTCATCTGTCAGACCCTGCATGTGTCCAAGGATAGGTGGAAAGAGAGAGACAAAAGTTAAACTAGTGTTCAAAAATACAAAGCCAAGTATATAAGAGCCTCCTTCAGTGCTCAGCAAGTGAGCTGGTGTTTGCAGATACCACTCCACAGACCTGATGACCACGGCCAGTCAGAATGTATTCATCTTAGCACTTGGAACTATTCAACTGTGGTATTCACCAACACATTTTTCCAGGGCCCAAGATATAAAATTCTACCAGCCAGAAGAGAAACGCAAAACATTCTGGCAACTCTAAACGCTCATTCATAACATTAATGCTCTCTGTCAACCACTGAAAATTTGCTCCTTTTGGTTAGATATTAATCTCCTTCTTTTTTACCTGCTCATCATAAGTTGCTTTGTATTTCTCCAGCCTTTTAACCAACTCTTCATGCTCTTCATCAAACTGGGCAATCTTCTTTCGGTAATACTCCAACAATTCCCGGGAGGGGCGGAGGTAGGCCAAGCGCTCATTAATTGAAGGAAGAGGAGTAGAGTCGTTCTGGTTAGGAGTTGAGGAACTGGCACATTTAGGAGTGCCACGACGGGTAGCGGACCTGAGTGGCGTGGTTGAATGCAACAAAAATGGGTGAAATAACAAACAAGGCCATTAAGAAACTCCAAATGCCAAGCCTTAACCCTTTCTTAAGAGAAGAAAAAATTTAATAAGAAATTCTCAGGAATGGTCCGAAAGAAAGATGTGAACAGGTGCCGGGTAGATCTTGAGGCAGGCAGACTTTTCCCCTCCTGCTGGCCAGGGTGGTTTGAATGGAAAAGAATCTTCATTGATCCATACTGGAGTTGTGAGGGAGTCTACTCCTACCCCTATTGCTCCTCCATCACAGCCTGACTTAGGAAGAAGGGAGCTCAGGAAGAGGTTCTGCTTCAGTCTAATGATTCTTCTCCTGGTATGATTTTAGGAGGAGGTCAGAGACAGCTTTTCTTATTTCTGTTCCAATGGCACAGTTAGATTAATGCCCCAGCCTGCAAAGCTTTGCATGCAGAGTTCAAATGAGCATACACAAATATATGTTCTTGAATATACAGAAGTATTTGACCACAGTGTATTTTATGCCACAGTCACCTCACAGCTAGATTATTGCAGCACACTCTACACGGGTCTGCCCT